GTTAAATCGTGGTATGAGTGGAGAGCTACTGTTAATGCTTGCGTTGAAGAAGACACTTGGAATCAGCCATAGACTATCAATCTAATACGTCCGTCTTTAGGTTTCAACAGAGGCCCATACAAATTATATCGATACCCAAATATGGAGCCCAAGAAATAACACATCAGAAACAGAGTTCAAAATAACACGTGTCACTTTCTAATGAGTCTATTTAATGACGTGGCGGGATGGAATGAGGAAAACCCTTCTTTATAGTATTGGATCACTTTACGTTAAATAAATCTTAACAATTATATATATATATATAATTAAATTTAATGATATTAACCCAAATACATAATATATTAACCTAGATATATAATATAATTCAATATATCTATTAAGTGTGACTCTTTAATCATATGCTTTTATGATTATCTGTATGTTTTTATAACAAAACCTGTAAACCGGTGACAAAAATATCAGTTGGGACTTTTAATAGTTCTAATAACTTTTAAGCATTCTTGAAAATTTATTGCAAATTTCTAAATTAAAATTTCATTTTAGTTATTTAATAAGTTGGAAAATTGAATAGATTTGCCCAAATTTTGGTCACGATTATAACAACTGATATTTTTCCATTATATTTTTCTTTAACCTTTGATTTATATTAAAGAATCTTTATTTCTTAATTAAGCTGTTTTTTAACTGATAATTTTTTTCCTTGAACTATTTGTTGTAGAAGACAAACTATTAGTTTCGTTACAGTTACATGAGGTCTAATACGATTGTTGCGATTATTAACAAAATTGTCTATCTTTGTTATAGCTATTTTAAATTGTTGGTTTAATATACATTATTTAATTTCACTTATGCTTTCTCTAGATTTTTTCAAGCTATTTTATATTTTGTCTTTGGTAGACTAAGTAAAGATATTTTTTTTCATATAAAATTATGTTTGAATTGTTTTTGTACATAATATTTAACTTTTTCACATTCATTTGAATACAATAACTTTAAATTCATGCTCACAATACTTACAAACTATTTATTTTATGATAAAACCAATTTAATGAAAATTTCATAAATATTTAATTCTCTTCTTTTTCTTGGGCTGATTGCTCGATCGCTCTCTTTTCTTGCTCTAACGCTCTCTTTTCTCTACAGCTTCCTTTAGTCTTTTCTCTCCCTCAAATCGCTCAATCTCTAATGATAGTTCAGAAAAGGTATGAGGATATTTCACTTTAAGAGAGGTGGCCACGACAGGTAGTAAATGGCTGACTTTGGCTCTCTCAGTCAAACCCAAAAACACATTCACGGTGAGACTTTGACTACGGTAGTCAGCCACCATTGCATCAATGTGGATTCTTGGGGATTAACCAAATCAAAATGATCAACTAGAGTTCAGTTGAATTCCAAAATAAGGAAGAAAAAAGTCATTACCAATACGAAAGCTTAGAAGTCATAGTTTCTTCACAGACACGCAAAAGTATGAAAACGAGTAGTAGCTAAAGAGAGTGAAAGATTCACGGAAGAGTAAGAAGGCGTGAGGGTGCTTAGTGCAGTCCCTAAGAAGTAGCACCAACTCGGTTTGCAATTTTCATGGTTCTTATGGCTTCCTTTGCTGCTAACCTAGCCTTGTTGAGGGCTTCCCTCTCGGCCCTCTCTGTGGCAGTAACAATCTTTTGGGCTTCAAACTTTGCTTCCTCTCTCAACACCCACTCCTTGTGCTTTCTTTCAGCTTCAACCTTCTTGGCCTCTGCCTCTGCCTTCTCGGCCTCTGCCTCGAGCAACTGGATACTTTTCTTCTCTTTTTTCTTGGCATTGTCGTTGATCCTCTGTACTTTCTTGTCAAGCTCATAAATAGAGCAAACAATCTGAGTTGATACAGAGCTCCATACAACTCTATGCATCATCTTCCTATCAATCTACAAGATTGTGTGTGTACAAAGTGTACAAGCATATATATATATATATATACAAGAGACGGTGTGGCTAAAGTCACACTCGTATCCCTTATTGCATATCCCGAGGCCGCTGTGACAAATTATGCTGTAGCTTCAGTTCCATCGTGCCTGCATTCGGATATCGCCGCAGGAGAATCTAAGTAGTTTATTTTTGTTTATTTTTTAAAAAAATTAAATTTTATATATTCTTGAAAATTTATTGCAAATTTCTAAATTAAATTTTCATTTTAGTTATTTAATAAGTTGGAAAATTGAATAGATTTGCTAAAATTTAGATATAAGCATTCTTGAAAATTTATTGCACATTTCTAAATTAAAATATTTATTTGTAGTTCTTTAATAAGTTGGAAGAATTGAACAGATTTTCCCAAATTTTTGGTCAAGAACGATTATAAGAGAGATATTGTAAAATCAAATGAGTAGAACGATACAACAATTGATATTTTTTTGTTGCCAAAAAAATAATATATATATATGCACTTTAATATATATATATATATATATATATATATATATATATATATATATATATTTTTTTTTTGAATTATACAGGGGTATCCTGGCCCCCAAAAGTGGGTCCAGACTAGCCACGTGTTATGCATGTGTCAGTCCCCTGTCTCTTGCGATGCCGAAATGTTAATTCCCAGTGGCCACTACTCGAACCCTGGTGGCTTCACCGTATTGGACTTTTTCCCTCAAGTTAATCACGACCAGGCCACAAGTCATGGTTTATATATATATAGGTATAAGGGACTGTTAACAGTTAGCTCGGTTATACTCTCATCCATTTCATATTGCAACTCATCATACGAAAGCAAAAACATGGCTTCAGGAGAAGTAGTAGCAGAAAAAGCCGTTTGTCAAATATGCACTACCAGTTCTCTTATTAGCTGATGTTAGAAGAAGAGTTAAGGAATTGAACATATTTTACAACTCTATAATGAACAAACCAAAGTTGGTGGCTAAACTAGAGGCACCACCACAAGCCAAAGTGCCTTCTTCGTATTTTAGGGATGTTAAAACCATGTCTCTCATTCAAGTCTATTTAGATGCGGAGAACGTGGATATCCCCTTTGAGTAAAATGTTAAGGTGTGGGTCATGATTCAGTGGACTCTAGAATTTGTTGGAGTGTTTTGATGAATTTGTACTCCATATTGGGATTGCACAACCATGTCGCGGAGACCATAAGTTCTAAAAATCTTACTCCACACCCACAAAGGTTAATTTACCATCCTCTTTGTTTGGACGATGAAAAAAAAAACATTAGCGGATAATTGGATTATTGAAAGAATGCAAACTTTGGCATATGCAGTTATCAGCAATGAACGTCCTCCCTGTCTGCTCCTCCTAATTTATGGGGATGGTGATTCCCACCCAATTACGCCTGATCTACATCAGCTTGGATGTCAATGTTTGCTCGCCAAATCACCTAGCAAATCAACCATCGATAGGCTGTTGAGGGTCTTTGAATCTTGCAATTGGTGTAGGCTGCTCCATAACGAACCCGACTGGTTCAATTTTACCAGATTATATGAGGAATCTTATAAACGCGTAGTTCACTTTGGTGATGTAGTTAGGTTAGTTACGACTGCTAAGGAAGCAGCAAATGCAGCAGAGGGCAAGAGAATATTAATTGGACTTCTTTTTGGGAAACTCACCTTCCTTTTACGGCTAAACCTCACATAGACACTAACAAGTTTTGGAATGAATATCGTGATCATGCTTGTCCGCCTTGTCAGTGGGGTCTTGCATTTACACCAGACGAGAAAACTTTTAACAAATATATTGATCAGGGCTGGCCATTTTACTTTGAGGCTTTCTGGAAAGAGTTTTGGGGACGCAGTGTTATACTAATAACACTGATTGAGAACCTGAGAAAAGGTAATGTAGACAAATCCAATGAAATATTACCTACAATTCTTAAAATGAGAAAGTGGCATATACGTATGTAGTAAAAAGTTGTTAAAAGGAAAATACTGTGGGCTTTTATATAAGAGTAGACCTTTGAAAAACAAGAAGAGACCAAAACCTAGAGTTTTTACTAAAGAAAACATACACTTATCAACATCGTCCTCCTCCTTTTAAATACTTGTAAAAAGTGAGAATTCGAAGATATAAAGGATGTATCTGGTTATTCCTCAAAGGAATACACTGAATAAAAGGAATGATTATTTGTGGAATAGATAAAAGTATTCCACAAATAATCATTTTTTGAAATTCAATGGAATGATGCATTCCAAACAAATCTATTCCAAAAATCATCATTCTAATTGCAGCCAAAATGAAGTTTTGAATGGTGGAAAGAATTCTTTTGATCTAGTGGTTTACAACAACGATTAGAAGTTTGAATCTCATAAAATGTGATTTATAAGCTAATTATATAGATTAGTGAGAAAAACTAATCTCATTACTATGTAGCACTAAGTGCATTCTTTCCATGGCCAATTGGATCAAAACTCTTAATATTTATCAAAATAAAAAACTTATCTCATTTTCATAAAGTGGCTCAGTGTAAATCTATCTAGTTAAAACAGAAGCATTACAACTTCTTCTATGTGGATTTTTAAGTTGGACCTCATATTATTAATCTATAGTCTAATAATGATATGATATTATTGTTAGTCTAATCTAATCTTTACGCAGTTAATTATATTTCGCTATTGTTTAGGAAGTTATCTATTATTTAGGAAGTTAGTGATGATTCAGTATCTTATAATTATTTGGAACATAATTATAATTCACCTTCTTATTTTTTACGAAAATCCTCAGTATATTCTTATTCCTTTTAAGCAGAAAATCTCGGTTACATTTAAAGCTCTTTATTTGGTATTAATTATAAAGCACAATTCGATATATATATATAAATACAATCCTTTATAGAATTATCTTTGGGCAATTGACCATAATAGACCATTTGAAGTTTTTGTCCCCAAAAGAACACCACAAAGAAAAAGTCACAAAAATGACATTCATTAATGGACAAAATTTCTATAATACCCTTGTTTTAAAATTAACTAAACAAACAGAAAAAAAAGAAAAAAAATCAGAACATCCTCTCTCTCTCACGCGACACAAGACTATTCCTCTTCTCGATCTCTTCGACGCAACGCGACGGCAGCTAAGAAGAAGGAGACACGGAGGGGAGGATAAATGGCGAATACACAGACTTACGACTTCCTGATCTTCGTAGCAGACATGAAGAAACCGTTAGATCAAAAATCGATAAGAATAAGGAGAATTCCGAAGACGGCTGCGAGTCTTCGACGTGGACCTCCTGGAGCTGCATCGTGTTGGCAGGCAGAGCTGGAGCTGGGGGACACGGGATACGTAACGTCATTGTAATCTGCTAGTGGGGAGGTAAGAATTAAGCTCTTTAGATTCAATTTATTTTTTTATAAAGGAGAAGGAATTTTTAGTGGTTCTTCTTCATTTTTGTTTTGATGCAGTACAAGATGGAACTTTGAGGATTTTTGAATAGCCTAGTATGAAAACGATACTTAATGAATCCAAGGCACATGCAAATATTAGTGTCTCTTTTACCCAAAAAAAAAAAATTAGTGTCTCTAGAACCATATGATCAAGTAGCTAAGTAGCTATCTTATAGTTGCTATATTGTTTAAATAGCTTTAATCAGAAGAATTGTGTGAAGAGTTATATTCTTTTCTAGACAGTATTGATTCTGCTGATTATGTGTGGTAGTTTATATGCAATTCCAGTGTTCTTGAGTGTGAATGAGATGAGTTTGTTTGTGANATTAGTGTCTCTAGAACCATATGATCAAGTAGCTAAGTAGCTATCTTATAGTTGCTATATTGTTTAAATAGCTTTAATCAGAAGAATTGTGTGAAGAGTTATATTCTTTTCTAGACAGTATTGATTCTGCTGATTATGTGTGGTAGTTTATATGCAATTCCAGTGTTCTTGAGTGTGAATGAGATGAGTTTGTTTGTGAAAATTTGTGGGATTTTTTTTTTAGTTTCAGGAAGGTGTTTCAAACTTTCAATATAGTTTTACAGAAAATCCGATGCTAGAAAATTTGAAAATTTTTTTTGGCTTGGTTACGCATAACAGCATCGCGATGAGAGATTCAATACCTGTCATGCTAAGACTATGTCATTTGTTTGTGGCAGAGACCATTCAAAAAAGTTCAAACCTGAAGATATGCAGATACAAATACAAGGGAAGAACTGTGTGGTCACTGGAGCTAACTCTGGTATTGGTTATGCAGCTGCAGAAGGTCTTGCTTCACGGTAAAGCTTTGTCTCAGTTATGAAAAAAAAAACAGGATATGATTTGTCACAATGTATATGAAGTCTTTCTCTTTTTGTTTTTTAGTGGAGCAACTGTTTACATGGTGTGTCGGAACAAGGAAAGAGGACAAGAGGCTCTTTCTAAGATTCAAAACTCTACAGGAAACCAGAATGTCTACCTTGAAGTATGATTTTGAATACTCTGTTCTATGCATATATTGGAAGAGTATCGAACTTATTTAGCTTTGCTTCTTTGTTTAGGTTTGTGAATTGTCTTTCTTTCAATGATATAAAGTCATTTGCTTCGAGTTTTGCTTCCAAGGATGTTCCGGTTCATGTGCTGGTAATGTCGTCTTTTCTTTTTACTGCTGCTTGAATAAAACATTTCACTAAAAAACTCCGCTATTCTAAAACTTTTGTTTGATTCTGATTTTTTTTTGTTTTTAGGTTAATAATGCTGGTTTGGTTGAGAACAAACGTACTACCACACCTGAAGGGTTGGTCTCAGTTATCTTTCTTGAGCATTCCACAGATTCATTTTACTTTGATTAATGTTCCATATGATGATCATCTATTGTATTAGGTTTGAGTTCAATTTTGCGGTGGATGTACTTGGGACATACACAATGACAGAGCTGATGCTTCCACTGTTGGAGAAAGCGTCACCTGACGCCAAGTCATCACCGTCTCCTCTGGTGGAATGTACACGTCGCCACTTACTACAGATCTTCAGGTAGCCAATCTGACATTCATGACACCTTTTGTTTGTGTAACCTCTTTGGCACTGTTTGCATCACTCAACTCGCGCTGCGGCGTATGGTTTTTCTACAGTCTAGTGCTTGTAACCAAATTCAAGGCTTCTTTAGATGTATTTTGCATCTTTATTGCATCATTGCCACTAGTTGTTTGCATAAATCATGTTTCATGCTTCTTTATTTGGATTTTTTTTCTTTTTGTTTTAGGAAAATAAAATAAGCAGGAACAGTTGAACATATTCTAGACGCAGGCATCCTTGGTTACAGAGCTCCTGAGCTAGCAGCTTCGAGGAAACCGATACCGTAGCAGATGTTTATGCCTTTGGTGTGATACTTCTTGAGATCTTAACGGGACGATGCGCAGGAGATGTGATCACAGGTGAACAAGAAGGAGCGGATTTAACTGATTGGGTTAGATTACGTGTTGCTGAAGGAAGGGGTGGGGAGTGCTTTGACTCGGTGTTGACACATGAGATGGGAAGTGATTCGGTTACGGAGAAAGGGACGAAAGAAGTACTTGGGGTTGCTTTGAGGTGTATAAGACCAGTTTCTGAGAGACCTGGTATTAAGACCATTTATGAAGACTTATCATCTATTTAAAAACATTGTTCTCTCTCGTTCTGTTTTTGTTTTTTGTAGGTTGGAGTTGCATGCTTTTTTTTTTGTTTCTGGAGAAGCATGCTCTTCATTTAAGGCTGTGTCTTGTGTGTTTCTTGTTTTTGACATTTTCGGGATGGGTTTCCAGAAAAATAAAATGAGTGTGTTTTCTTATATCATTATAAAACACATATGTTATATATGATAATTTTTGGCGCTTCCAGGATGGGTCTCCAGAAATATAACATTGTTAATCTCTTGATGGTGCTTGTGGTTGTGGTTGTGGTTGTGGAACTTTGTAGTATTTTTAAAATTTCAGGAATGATTTATGTAGTTTCAGGAAAGCTTTCTAGAAAATTCGATGTTAACAAATTTGATTTTTTTTTTGCTTTGTGTCTTCTTGTTTTGCTTACGCTGTTGATATCTTTTTTTCAGGAATGATTTATGTAGTTTCAGGAAAGCTTTCCAGAATATTTGATAATAACAAATTTGAATCTTTTTTTGCTTTGTGTCTTCTTGTTTTGCTTACGCTGTTGATATCTTTGATAGGTTGTGAATTTCTTTATGACATTGTTAATTTCTTACTTGTGCTTGTGAAACTTTGTAGTATTTTTAAAATTTCAGGAAAGATTTATATAGTTTCAGGAAAGCTTTCTAGAAGATTTGGTGTTAACAAATTTTGAAATATTTATTACTTGGTTACGCAGGATAGTAACACGATGGGAATTTTATTATCTCTCAGACTAACACTAACTGAGCTGAAGTATAAGATTGGTTCAGAGTCAAGGAAAAACAGTTAAAAATTTATGTTGATTATTGAAAATTTTCAGATTTCTAAATGTAACACTAAAGCATTGTACATATGTCGTGGTTTAATCAAAATAAGAATTGTACACTATATTGGTAAGAATCAAATGAAGTTGTCTAATTTTTAAAAATAAAATTACTTTGCTCATTTCTATATCTAACAGACTGGCCCTACCAAAGATATAACATGCCTAAGCCAAATACGAAGACACCAAGCAAAAAAAAATTCAAATTTGTTAACATCGGATTTTCTGGAAAGCTTTCCTGAAACTACATAAATCCTTCCTGAAATTTAAAAACACTACATAGTTTCACAAGCACAAGAACAAGCACAAGCACAAGCACAAGCAAGAGATTAACAATGTTATAAGCAAATTCACGAGCCTACAAGGATATCAACATGTCTAAGCCAAACAAGAAGACACCAAACAAAAAAAAAATTTCATTAAATATTAATTTTTTTAGAAACTCCTTCCTAAATATTTTACTTGTTATTCTAACATTTTATTTTTAATTAAATATTATATTTTTAGGAAGCTCTTACTAAATATTTTACATACTATCATAAATATGATATATATGTAAGCTTATTATTACATCCTCAAAGTGCCAAAAGCTATCATATATAACATATGTGTTTTATAATGATACCACATTTAACACTTTCTTGATAGAATTATTGAAAATGCTTCAAGCTACCCTATTTTAATATTCTCTTATAAATTGTATAAAATTATATGGAGAATCATTTGTTCATTGTCAACACATAATTAACTTTAACTCCTTCTTGTGTATCTGTTTATTGCCAACACATAATTAACTTTAACTCATTCTTGTGTATCTGTTAGGAAGGCATTTCACGTTTTCTGGATGGTTTTCCAGAAATACAAAATGTTCCAATTTGTATAAAAGTTCAAATTTTAAAAAATGAAATGAGGTTAAGGGCTAAGGATTGAGATTTAATGAGGTAAGTTGTATAAAATTTTGTGATGCTTACAGAAAAAAAAAATCTGTTATAGGTTCTATGGTCTCGGAAAAAAAAATTGTTTTTCTCGTACCATTTTTCTGAATTTTTTTTTTGTCAGAATGCTGATTTTTGAAGCGGTCAGGAAGATGTTTCTGCTCGGCCTAGCGTCTAAACTCTACATACTCTCTCTCTCTCTCACTCCGGGTTCTGCTTGGTTCCAATAACATTTTTTTTTGTTTTTTTTATCTAAACATCAAATTTTGAAACAACTTACCTTATTAAATCTCAATCCTTAGCCCTTAACATCATTTCGTTTTTAAAATTTAAACTTTCATACAAATTGGAACAATTTTTTATTTCTGTACACCCATCCAGAAAACTTGAAATGCCTTCCTAACATAACCAAATTAACATTCAAAACCGAAAAAGGTAAGTTAAAGTTAATTATATGTTAACAATGAACAGATGATTCTCCTCGGCCTAACGGCTAAACTCTACATACTCTCTCTCTCTCTCACTCTCACTACGGGTTCAAACCTTGCTTCGTTCCAATAACAATTTTTTGTTTGTTTTTTTTTTCTCTAAACATCAAATTTTGAAACAACTTACCTTATTAAATCTTAATCCTTAGCCCTTAACATCATTTCGTTTTTAAAATTTAAACTTTCCATACAAATTGAAACAATTTTTTATTTCTGGAAACCCATCCAGAAAACTTGAAATGCCTTCCTAACATAACCAAATTAACATTCAAAACCAAAAAGGTAAGTTAAAGTTAATTATGTGTTAACAATGAACAGATGATTCTCCTCGGCCCTTAACATCATTTCGTTTTTAAACAACTTACCTTATTAAATCTCAATCCTTAGCCCTTAACATCATTTCGTTTTTAAAATTTAAATTTTCCATACAAATTGAAACAATTTTTTAAATTCTGGAAACCCATCCAGAAAACTTGAATTGCCTTCCTAACATAACCAAATTAACATTCAAAACCGAAAAAGGTAAGTTAAAGCTAATTATGTGTTAACAATGAACAGATGATTCTCCTCAGCCTAGCGGCTAAACTCTACATACTCTCTCTCTCCCACTCCGGGTTCGAACCTTGTTTCGTTCCAATAACAATTTTTCTTTTGTTTTTTTTTCTCTAAACATCAAATTTTGAAACAACTTACCTTATTAAATCTCAATCCTTAGCCCTTAACATCATTTCGTTTTTAAAATTTAAACTTTCATACAAATTGGAACAATTTTTTATTTCTGGAAACCCATCCAGAAAACTTGAAATGCCTTCCTAACATAACCAAATTAATATTCAAAACCGAAAAAGGTAAGTTAAAGTTAATTATGTGTTAACAGTGAACAGATGATTCTCCTTGGCGTAGTGGATAAACTCTACATACTCTCTCTCTCTCTCACTCTCACTCTGGGTTCGAACCTTGCTTCGTTCCAATAACAATTTTTTTTGTTTTTTTCTCTAAACATCAAATTTTGAAACAACTTACCTTATTAAATCTCAATCCTTAGCCCTTAACATCATTTCGTTTTAAAAATTTAAACTTTCCATACAAATTGGAACAATTTTTTATTTCTTGAAACCCATCCAGAAAACTTGAAATGCCTTCCTAACATAACCAAATTAACATTCAAAACCGAAAAAGGTAAGTTAAAGTTAATTATATGTTAACAATGAACAGATGATTCTCCTCGACCTAGTGGCTAAACTCTACATACTCTCTCTCTCTCTCTCTCTCTCACTCCGGGTTCAAACCTTGCTTGGTTCCAATAACAATTTTTTTTTTGTTTTTTTTTCTCTAAACATCAAATTTTGAAACAACTTACCTTATTAAATCTCAATCCTTAGCTCTAACATCATTTCGTTTTTAAAATTTAAACTTTACTTACGTTAATAAATCTCAATCCTTAGCTCTTAACATCATTTCATTTTTAAAATTTAAACTTTCATACAAACTGGAATAATTTTTTATTTCTGGAAACCCATCCAGAAAACTTGAAATGTCATCCTAACATTTTCAATAACATAACCAAATCAACAAGTGAGACACATAAGAAAATTATTAATCATTCTTTGTTTGCATCATTTTTCGTTTTGATTTTGTTAATTTTTCTAAGTTTGATCTTATTGACCTAAAAATGGAAAGATAATTTAGTGAGAATCAATGAGTTTAATGTTTAAAAATAACTTGTTCCTAGAAGTTTAACAAGAGTGAAAGCTCAAACATTGAAAATATCTATCCCACAGAAAGACATAATCAAATGCTAAACATCGAATGATACAACTCTAATAGAAGAGGTGGCGAGATAGAGACATCAAGCTAGCTTCAGTCAAATGTATGTTCCAATCAGAAATGGCAGCTCTGGCTGGAAATAGAGAGATATCCAATATCAGAACAACGCAAGTCCATCATCATGTGACATTAATGATCAAAACTTAGCACATACATATGGAAACATTATACCAAGCTCATGACTTCTTGAGCACAGACGCAAGCATAGGTCTCTTAAAAGAGAAACGAAATATCTTGGTACAATGAAAGTAGAAGCACATTAACAAGATGAGTAGGGCTTAAGTGGAACTAAACAAACAGAATCCAATTCAGAGAGTATTATTTAGAAACATAACCAAAGAAGAATATATATAGAAAGGATTAAGCTGATCAAGTTCCATTAGGCTGCTGCACTTGAATCTCCGGAGCTGGTGGAGGAGAGCTCTCCCTCTTCAGCCGGCTCGCCCTTCTCTGCTCCTTCACTGCTAGATCCCACTCTTCCTTTCATTTTTAAGCCTATCCTGAAAAGGCTTGTACCTCTTCCCATGAAAAGCTCTCAACTTGGCCATATAGCAATCACCAATCTTCTCCATAAGCTCAGGGTGGCCCTTCATACAGTCAGCGTGTTCAAACTCCAGCTGTTGTCCAGACACAATCTTGCTAAAGCCCTACACTCACAACAAGAACAGAAAAAACATCAAGGGCCAGCAAGAGATTAACAATGTTATAACTCACAATCTTGGAGGCATCACCAAATCAGAGTAACAGCATGAGTAGCAAGGATGATGACATGCTGGTAGATATAGAAAGATCCAACGAAACTCAAGTATCAAACCAGAGATTGGATTCAGTGACCACCAGAGATGCGGGGTTTGCAAAAAGCTCTTATCTCAGAGATCACCATGGAGCTCTCATAAGATACTGAGAAGTGGAGACATGCCAGCTGCTGGTGTTTTCCCCTGCCACCATGTCTACCATGTGGAATGTGTAGACAAAGTGACCCTAACATCTCAAACCCGAGGCTTGTCCTGCCTGCTCAAACACATCGGAACAATCGAGCAACAACTGATAGTCCCTGAGACGCTGCAACAGGCTCTAAGATCTCTAAGAAGAAGCCACACAGCTATTGGTTCAGAA